CACACACACACACACACACACACACACACACACACACACACACACACGGAGGCCCACCAGCAGGTCTCCCAGGCAGACTGAGAAGCTTACTTCTGCACATTCTCCAAGTCTGCTCCCTCTCCGCCTTGCCATTTTAATGAGTAACACATCTCCACCCAGTTTCTCAAGCCAGAAGTCTGATAAGCATCTCTGACCCACCCCTCTCAATGGGCTCCTTGGCCAAACACCTTCAGTTCCGAAACACCCACCGGCCTCCATGCCTTTGGGGCCCTGGGCCAGGCTGCTGTCATGGTAACTCAGATCACCTCCACTCTCCTCTTTCTCTGACCGTCTCTTAGCTGCTTTAACACTGAATTTCACTTTCCTCATGATTCCTGTCTCTCTTAGGTTCTGCACTCATTTATTGGTGGTGATTTTTTTTTTTTTTTTTTTTTTTGTACTCATGTTTGATATAAAGGGTGTTTCCAAGTTGACAGAGAGATACACCAGGGCAGATCTGAGGTGATACTTCCTTCAGTAATGGAGGAAGCTGGGATAGGTTTGGCTTTTTAAAGTTTGTTGTTGTGTGTTCGTGTGTGATGCTCATATCGTAGCACGTTGTGTGTAGATCAGCTGGGGTCAGTAGTCTCCCTTCTGCCCCGTGTGTTACCGGTATTGAACTCACACTGTGTTCAGGCTTGGCAGCCAGCATCTGTACCTGCCCAGCCCTCTTGCCTGCCCTTGCTTGTCTTTTAAGTCAGGGTCTTACTAGGCAGCTGCTGTGAAATGAGTGTGGAATGTCCCCTAGAGGCTCCTTGGGAACACTCAGTCCCCAGCTGCTAGTGTGGAGTAGTAATGCTGTGGAACCTTTAGAAGGGGGGTCTTCTAAGAGAGTGTGCCCCAGAGGCGGGCCCTGAGGCCCTCCAGTTCAGCTCCTCTTCCTGTCCATTCCTACTAAGGGTGGCTGTGGCCTGAGCAGCCGGCATCCTGCTCCTGTTCCCACACTTTCCCCAGCCTGACGGCACTGGAAGCCCAGAATAATCCCCTCCTTGCTTACATTGCTTTGTCAGAGTTCTTTTATTACAGTAACAGTGAAAGGAACTAAGGCAGGGCCTGGAGAGGTGGCTCAGCAGTTTAGAGTACTTGCTGCACTTGCCCGGGTTCAATTCCCAGCACCCGCAAGGCAGCTCACAACCATCCAGAGCTCCACTTCCAGGGACAGGATGCCCCCTTCTGACCTCTGCAGCCACCAGGCACACGTGTGGTGTGCACGCATACGTGCAGGCAAGACATTCACATAGATAAAATGAATAACTCTAAGAGGAGGAGGAAACAGACGGCAGTGCCGGCTGGCCTTATGCTCAGCTCCATCCTCCAGAGTGCTGGGTTACAGGTGGAGAACTTCCTTTAGCGCTCCACCCCCTCTGGTCTTTCCTGCTCCCTTTTTGGATAGTCATTGGACTAGTTCCTCTTCAGGTGCGGGGTGTGCTAGTGGCTGGGTTTCTCGTGTCGGTTGTGGTTTCCACTTCCAGAGATTCCACTGATTCTTCTTTTAAGTCTGGTTGGTGACTGTAGACAATATTTGGTTCCTGCTTACTGTATCAGCTTCAACTTCCTCACACATCTTTTTGTTCTGTTTTGTTTTTCGAGACAGGGTTTCTCTTTGTAGCCTTGGCTGTCCAGGACTTGATTTGTAGACCAGGCTGGCCTTGAACTCACAGCCTGCCTCTGCCTCCCTGAGTGCTGGGATCAAAGGTGTGTACCACCACACCTGGCCTTCTTCAGACATCTTAAGCCCCACTAACTATATGTTAGTATTTTAAATCCTCAGGGGAAGCAATTCCACTATTTATTGGTTTTGGTGCCCGTCACACTGGCTTGCTTCCTTGTATGTTTTATAGCTTTCTTGCTAACTCACAATTGAATAATCCCAAAGGGACCTTGGAGCCAGACCTTCAGAGAGCCCTGTGTTGACTTTGGCCAGGTTCCCTGGGCACGACCCCAAGGCTGTAAAAACCATTATTTTACTGTATGGACTCTAGCGCCTCAAGGGAAGGGTGCACTTTAAAAAACACAGCTCTTGCAGGAAACTCAACTAGTATCTGTCATTTTTTAAGGAACCACTCTCCCGGCTGGCGGATTCTCTCCAGCCACTCCCTCTCCTGTCCACTGATGCTCCTTTGAGGTGGAAGGAGAATGAGGCTGTGTTCTGAGTTGTCACAGCTCAAGCTCCAGGGCCTGTTTTCCCTGCCTTGAGTAGGGGCTGGAGGTTTCTGAGGGCAACCCCCCCCCCCCAGGCCACCATGGCTGGCGCTGGATTCCAGCCACACTCCACACTCCACCTCTCACAAAGAGCATCTTACAGGGTGCCCGGTGTCACCCGCTCGGCCTCCAGGTCATAATTCCGAAGGCAGACAGCTGGAAACCCTAATCCTCCACTCGCCCCATCCTAACAGCCACAGACATCTTTTAAAGCACAGCTCTGACCATGCTGCTTCAAATCCATCATGGCTCCCCGAGCCTCCCAGCTTCCTTTCCACGGTCATTAAAGGCCCCACCCACAGCTGGCTGGCCTCTCCTCACGAGGCCTGGCACGTCTATCTTCCTCTGTGTTCAGGGCCCAGCCTAGCAACTGGTGTCCAACCGCTCCACGTTTATGGTGTAAATTAACTAGGACTCGGCAAACACAGTGGTGTGAGTACTCACTGACATTCTTAACGACCCTCGAAGTGGTCTGTGATGTGGGGTGTACCCACTACAGATGAGAAAACAGGCACGGGGGGATGACTTGGCCATGACCACAGCGCCGAGTGCTGGGCTGTAATCTAATGAGTTTCTGCCTACGATGGTGTCCACAACCTTGGCCTCAGGGACCGAGCGGCTCACAGCCATCAAGGGCAGAGGCAAAAGCCTGCCACTCATTTTTGCAGACACCCTAGCCCTCATCCGACCCCAAAGAGAGGTGATGAAGACACAAAGCCTGACAGACTGGCTCCCCTGGGGACCCAGCACCTCTTTGGCTTAACTGAAGTAAGGTTCATCTTACACTAGAGATAGTCCTGAATCCCTGCTTCTCCCCACCCCCAGCCATTATCCCTCCCACCACACCTAAACTCTCTCTGTTGGTTGATGTTCAGTCTGGGCTCTGGAACAGCGTGGACCCAACTGGAACCTGTCCTTGGGGAGCTCAGTGTTCTGAAGCCCCCAGGAGCAGGCAGAGCAACGACAGCCATTGTAGACAGGGCTGTGACGGTCAAAATGATGGGGCCAAGAGGCCCCAGCTCAGTCTGGGCACTCAGGGAAGGTATCCGAGCCAGGCAGTAGGGAAAGAAGCCCAGAAGGGGACCAGAGTTTGCAAAGGGGTAGTTCCGAGGCCCTGCCATCTGGACAGGCCGGGAACTGGCTCTGAAAAGCCTGCTGGCTGGGGAGATGAGGCAGGGGCTGGCAGGGGCTGGTCGGGGTGCCCAGGAAGGCTAGGCACATTAGTCCTGCAGGACTAATGGCATCAACAGCCACTTGCTCCACCAAGAGATGGCCCAAGCTTTATCTAAATTGGCCATGGTATTATTTCCCTCAATCCTCCTCCAAGATGAGCCCTTATCAGCATTTGACAGATAAGGGAGTAAAGGCAGTGCAGTGTGAGGGACTCCTCCCAGGGGCTTTCTGCAGGAGGAAGCTCAGGACCGCCAGGCTCCCCAGCCCCAGCTCGATGTGAGTGGAGGAGGGCCTTGTCTCCACAGGCTGGCCCCTGTCACCCAGGCCGCCTTCTTGTACTCTTGTGAGGGTGGCCTCTCTGCTGTCCTTTAAGGACATTAAGGCACGGGTGAGGGAAGGGGAGGGGCAGGAACAGAGCTGAATGGACCATGGCTGGTGGCCTAGATCAGGGTCTCGGGCACAGTGGTAAAGGACTGTCCCATTCAGACACACACGTCACTCAGGGAGCAGATGGGAGCCTGGCTTTTAATCTCTGCTCTGCCCTTTGGGGTGGGGGACTCTAGCCAAAGGACAATGTGTGTACCTCTGGGGGGGGTTGTCTTCTGAACTGACCTTTCAAGGTCCCAAATGTGATCACTAGGTTCCATGGAAAGGCCCCCACTCCCGTGGCCCTTCGCCACACATGGTCAGCACCACGTGACATGGCTCAGCACCCGTGCACGGCCTTTCGGAGTTTTGACAGCACACAGCCTTGGCCTGAGCGACAGCTCAGTTACTTGGTCACCTGGTAAAGGGTTTTTGGTTTTGTCTTTTGAGACAGGGCTGGGTCTCTTATATCAAAGGCTGGCCTGGGACTCACCACGTAGCCAAGGATGAGCTTGAATTTCTGATCTCCTGCCTCCACCTCCCACGTGCTGGGATCTCAGGTGTGCTCCACCATGCCCAGCTCTACTTGGGGTTAGGGCATCAAACCCGGGCTCTGTGCATGCTGGAAAAGCGCCATTCCAACCGAGCTCCATCCCCAGCCTGGAGACGGTTCTTCAACTTTGATAAGCCTCTCTTTCCTCATCAGCACAATGGGCCTAATGGTGCCTACATCTCGGGTTTGTGAAGAAAGACTGAGGCTGGAATTACTCATGAACTACTCCTAGTTATTTTTCCCCAGGGTTATGAATTGTCGCCATTCTCTCTTCAAGCAGGACTCATTCAGTATCGGAACAAGCCAGGCTTGCTAGCACACTCCCACAGCACCCGGGAAGGCTGAGGTAGGAAGATCCGAGGCCAGACAGGGTTGACATGGGGGGTCCTGTCAAAAAGAGAGAAAGAGGAGGGCGGAGGAGGGGGAAGGAAGGAGGGCAAGGCTTGAGTGCACATCAGTAACCTACCAGGGGACCACTGAGGCACACTGCTTATGTACAGAAGACAGCCATTCAGTAATATTCTGTGTTTGGATAGCAGGACACAGGAAACCACCTCAGTGTTCAACAAGAAGGATAAGTAAATAAACGGAGTCTTTACACAGGGTGGTGAAGCAGGTGTCGGGGTGAGGGAGACCAGCCTGTGGGACGGAGGAGAAACCCAGCTTCTAGAAAAGTAAGCCACAGAATGGCACGTGTTGCAGGCTCTGGTTATAGAACACTTGCCAGTAAGAACAAACTATCCCCCACCCCAAAGAACTCGATTGTGTACAGCAAGAGAATAAAAAATGGGAATCGACAGACCCAAGGCTCAGGGTGACAATTATCTCTGGACAGGGACGGTGGTAGGAGACTTCAGCAGGCTCCTGCGACTCTAACACGCCTTCTCTCTTAAAAAATCTGTGGGGCACAGGCTGCCAGGAGCTCAGGACTCCGGTTCACTATTGGCCACAGGGGCTGGAGAGATGGCTCAGTGGCCACGGATGTGTGCCGCTCTCACAGAGGGCCAGGCTTTGGTTGCCAGGACCCACCCTGGTGGCTCACAACTACCTCTGACTCCAGCTACAAGGGAACCTGACTGTCATCTTCTGGACTCCACACACAGACGTGATTTAAAACGAAAAATGTCTTAGAATTGTTTACCATACTCTTCTGAAGCCTTAAAAACATTTCATAAGTTTTAGCTGGGCATGGGGGCACACACCTGAAGTCCCAGCCAGCGGGAGGCAGAGATGGGAACATCTGGAGTCCAAGGTCATCCTTGGCTACAAAGATCAGAGCAGCCTGGGCTCGGCAAGACCCCGTCTCAAGCCACCCATCCCCACTGCCAAGAAATTATTAATTGCTGTATGGTAGTTGTATGGTAGTTGTATGGTAGGTAAACTTTCTTAGACTTAGATCCAGACAAGACCTGAGTGTTTGCTGAGTAAGGGTCTATAGTACAGGCGGGGGACTCGCTTCTTTGGTCTTCCTCTGCTCACATCCCACAAGGATGACACTGGCCAGGCCCATGGGAATGGACAGATGGGCCTGTGTGGCCTCAGAGAGTGGGCCCCCACAGGCATACAAGAGGACTGGTATTCTATTTGTGCTAGAAATCCGTGCTTCCTGGCCTGAAGGACCCCTGGGGGTCGCTCCAGGGGCTCAGGCACAGAGGTGGATGTGTGAGCAAGAGGGGCGAGTTTGGCTTCTCGGCCAGGAAGTGTGGATTTGTGGGCGGCAGCCTTGCTCTAGTACTGGAGGGCGCTGCTGGCCCAGGGCTGTGCCCCAGCCAGGCTCCGGGAGTGAGCACTCAGATCCTCAGGACACTGCTCACCTGGCCTCTCTCAAAGGCTCAGGGAGGTAAAAGGTCTTGACCAAAGTTACAGGACAGAAAGTGGTTAAGGGAAAACCTAACAGGCCACGGTCCTCCAGGTCACCGGGCTTCCGCTGTCAGACACTGGCAGGCCCCGGGGAGGCCTCCAGCTGGCGGTGGCACCAGGCTTCCCTCCTCCCTGTGCATCCATCAGGCCTCGGGCCCTTGGTAAATACTGTCACTAGTCTGAGTCTCCAGGTAGGGCGAGCACCCCTCCCGGCTCACCTGAGCAGATCTGTGGCGACCTCCCAGCAGCCCAGCAAGTGCCCCCGGGCACTGAGACCAGCAAGGGGCTGCTGGTCTCCAGACAGCACCCGGCAGTGCCTGCGGACAACTAGGGGGTCCGACAGTGGGGTGGGGGCGGGGCTGGCCAAGACAGCCATGTTGACCAGCGACAACATCCACTTTGACCACCCGGGTCTCTTCGACGCCCAATATCCCGGGCCTGGGCACACTCGAGCCCACCAAGCTGAAATATCCTGAAGGGGACGCCACCAGACAGCTGTGTCCAAATCCCACTCTCCGCTCTGACCTCCTCCATAACGAAAAGACAAGTCACTTAAGAGCCGTGCCTCAGTTTCCTCTGTAGGGAGGGGCGATTCTAAGCCTGCCCACCCCGCGGGCACACACTCCGGGGGAGGGGGGAAGAGGAGAAAGTTAGGACCCGGCGGACGGAGCCTGAGCCCGGGTCCCCGGGAGGTGGCGGGGCGAGGGCTGCGCGGCGGCTGGAGCCGCAGTGCGGTCCCGGGGCTCTTCCGCCGAGGCCCCGCGGCCCCCGCCCCGCAGGGCCCGCGCCCGGAGGCGGCCTCCAGCACTCACCCCGCGGCCAGCTCCCCCGGGCCGCCCGCCGTGCTCATCGCTGCGCGCGCCGGACGCAGAAGCGGCGGCCGGATCCCGGGGAGGGGCGCGCCGGGGGCGGGGAAGGCGGCGGGGCCGGCCCGGCTGCCCACCCGCCCGCGCCGCAGCGCCCGCCCCCCGCGCCGGCCAGGTGAGACCCGGGGCCCGGGCACCCGCCGCCTCCCCCCCCCCCCAGGCCACGTCTCCGGCCCACACCTGAGCTCCCTAGCCTCTGCAGTCAGGCGCGGGCATCCATTCCGCCCCCTCGCGCGACGGGGGACACGCTTTACGAGAGACCAGAAGGCGGGAAAGCGAGCGGGTTAGCGCGCACCGCGAGCGCAGCTCACCCTCGCCCCCTTCACACCATCCCTACCATTGCCATTTTCCAGCCCTGGGACCTGGGGCGGCTAGGTGTCCCGTGTTGAGCGGCTCCAGTGCCAGGCAGGAACTGCAGCTCAGCCCTCCTAACTCCAAAGCTCACGCTCGGTCCCCTCTCGCTCTCGGAGTGAGGGGTCAGTGCCCAGATGGCCACTGTGCCCCTGAGCTGGGTTTGCGGGCTCGGAGGAAGCCCAGGATGCCTAGCAGGGCGCCCTGGCCCCTTAAGAGTTAACGAGCTTCTAACTCTGGGCCCCAGATGCTTCTGTGACTCATCAGAACACGTGGCTGCCATTAGATTAGAGCTGTCCCTTTACAAAGGGACAGGAGGAAGGATTTCAACTGCCCCATTGGCCCTGAGCTCCAGGATGTCAGAAGAGGAAGCCAGAGAGAAGGCTGCCTGCAGCCATGGTGGGAAGGGCTTGGGCCACAGCCCAGGGGAGCCAGGCAAGCTGAATTTAGGAGTGGGCAGAAGTGCCTGGGGGCTTGCTGCTCGCATCAGGACAGGATGCCTGCTGTTTGTTGTTCTTTTTAAATTTATTTTTATTTTACATGCATTGGTGTTTTGCCTGCAGGTATGTCCATGTGAAGGTGCGAGATCCTCTGGATCTGGAGTTACAGACAGTGGGAGCTGCCCTGTGGGTGCCGGGACTTGAACCCGGGTCCTCTGGAAGAGCAACTGCCGCTCTTACCCACTGGTTGTGAGTTCTTACGCTACCCTGAGTGAGCAGACACTGCATTGTGGAAATCATCCCAGGCCTGGCGGCCTCACATATGGGCTTGAAAAGACAGTTAACTACGGGAAGCTGACCATAATGATGTCTAGCAGCAACTGTGGCCTAGGGAATCCAGACGAGGCTGCGTGCGTGCGTGCGTGCGTGCGTGGGGCAGGGGTCTGTCCGGGACAGACGGGAAGCAGAGCCGAGCCTTGAGAAGTGCATTATTAATGACGCCAGGAGCAGCTGTGCTCCATGGGGACCAACACCCACAGAGGCGTGGCAAGCTGATGACGCCTGGGGTCGGTGAATCTGGAGACCAGCACCCACGCAGAGCCACGTCCTAGGTGACGAGGCTGAAGCCTGTCACATGCCCTGCACGGTCCTGTCCATTGGCACGCGCTGTTCCTTCGGCCTGGAACACACACTCCTTCCTGATCACATAATTCATCCATGTAGCCAGGGACAGGCCAGAGGCTTACCATTGGGAGATCTCTTTTCAGAAGAAAAGACCGAGGCGGTCACGACAGTACACACTTGTAATTCAACATCTGGGAGGTAGAGGCAGGAGGCTCAGGAGTTCAAGGTCACCACCCGAAGCTACTTAAGGGCTTCCGGGCCAGCTAGATTATACACGACACACACACACACACAGACACACACCACAAAGGAGAGCAGAGGAGACAGGCAGACACTGCAGACTGCTAATGTGAATTCAGGGTCTTGGAGCCACACGAGGTGGGTGGGAAAGGGTTCTGAAGCTCTAAGCTCCATTAGTTCTGATCGCATTTGGCTAACTGGTCCGGGTGATACTGTGGGACGTGGGGAAGGAGCAGGAGGAGGGGTTTTCACGTGACTCTCTTGCACAGTCCTCAAGGTCTGGTCAGATCACCACTGTGTCTGTGAGTGCGGACGCCTGACCTCCAACACTGGGTTCAGGGAGGTAAAAGTTCTCACTGAGGGAATTAGCTTGGCAATGATGGACTGCTCCAAGGCCTCTCACAAGCCACACCTGGTGGTGAGGGCACAGGGATCATCTTACCTAATTTCCATTTTCAAGTACTCTGGGAGCCTCGCTTTCTGCAGGGAAAGTTGGAAATGGCACCACCGACTTCGCTGTGAGCAGTAAGGGTCCGAGGCACATAGTAGGGCTGGTGCCTGGGGATGGACACTGGCTTCTCCTCCCACTTTACAGATGAAGACAGTTGAGCAAGCTCAGCAGTGGAGTCCGGAGTCCTCCCCCATCACCACAGTGGTCCTGAGGCTGAGCCAGGCATTCGGTGAGGTGAGCCAGGACATGGGTCAAGCCCAGAATCGGCAGGGCGCCCCCAAGGTCATTCCTGATTCTCAAGCCTTCTGGCTCAGATTCCGCTCATCATCGGTGCTCCCTCCCAGCTGGGATCACCCGCTTGACCCCGCCTTGAGCCAACAAGGAGCCCCAAGGCTGCCGGAGCTTCCCAGGTCCGTCAGGACACCCTTTCCTGATCTGCGAGGCCTGAGAGGCATCAGGCCTGCTCTCCTTCCTCACCTCCTCCACAAGAACACATGGCCAGGCTCGCCACACTTCCCGGCGGCGGGCAGAGCCTCTGTGCACTGCGCTCACTCGTGCTCTCTCAGCTGGCGAGGTCTCAGAAGACACCAGGGGTGCCTGTAGATTCCTCAGAACGCCCTCGAGCCCTCCCAGCCTACAGATGAGAAGACCGGGGTCTGCATCATGGTCTGTCCATAGCTGAAGCCCAGGCCTTGATTCCTTATCCTACACAGCGCAGCTCTTTTTGAAATTTAAATATAATAGCGTGTATACGTATGCAGGCACACACACTCGAGTGGAGGTTGGGGGACCACTTGGAGGAGATGGTTGTCTCCTTCCACCACAACTTCTTGACCTGTAGGCTGCCGCTCCCGTGTGGAGCTACAGAGCAGAAAGTGAGGATTGCAACATTCTTGGCAACAATAAACGGTCTCTGAATGCATAACAACCACAAGTTAATTCAGAATCAAGTCTGATGTGACTCCAAGGCATCTCTGGCAGCTCCTGGCCATGCTGTACCACGGTTTTCCTGCAACCCTGGCCTCTGAGCACGCACAACCCACTGTCGGGCCACGGGATTCGGCGTTCCCGAGGTGCCCGGGAGGGTTTCTGCCCTTACAGGAATATGATGAGTCAGTCGTCAGGACAAGGGTCAGGACAACAGGTGGAGAATGCCTGGCATCCGCCTTGCTGCTTTGAGACGGGGTCTCCTGTTGAACCTGGCAGTTTTAGCAGGGCTGGCTGGCTCAAGTCAAGCACCTGGGATCTGTTCAACAGCTTCAATACTGGAGTTGCAGGCACGTGCAGCCATGCCTGGCTTTCCACACCAGTGCTGGGGATTCAAACTCAGGCCTCAGGCTCGCCCAGCAAGCTTGCTTACGCCCGAGCCATCCACATGGCTCCCCCAGCACAGACTTTGTGTCTTCCTGCCATCTTCCCTCAGTACCAAGATGGCACAGCTTCGGGTTTGACTGTGTCGGGACGCGTGGTTGCCTGGTGCTGGTGTGTGGACTCACGCCTGTAACTCCAGGGCTTGGAGGGTCAAAGAGGGGGGGTAGTGCCCCCCCTCTCTGAGGCAGTTCTGACCTACGAAATGAGTTCGAGGCAGACTAGGCTGACGAGGAAGGCCTTGTCTTAAAACAACCCCGGCGCCTTTCCTCCCAGCTCTTGGGAGGCAGAGGCAGTTGGATCTCTGAGATCTAGGCCAGCCTGGCCTGCAAAGGGAGATCCAGGATGCCAGTTAGGGCTACACAGGGAGACCCTGTCCCAAAATAAATAAAATTTTTTAGACCTATTTTATTTTATAGACCTATGTACCTAGGAGGTCAAAAGGGTAAGCGGATCCCCAGTGGTGAGAATGAAGAAGAAAGGAAAGGGGGCGTTTGAAATGCGGGACTCGGGAGTGGAGGGTACAGGCTCAGGGCCGGTGACGCTCGCTCTTTCCACAAGAAGTACTTAAGTGAGCCTCCCTCTCCCCGACGTGCACCTGGACCGGTACCCCAAACACCCGGGGGTGCTGGCACAAGGCCTTACCAGAATGTGGGCAGTCCGTCTGCTGCAGTGCCCTCAGCTGCCTCCCCCAGGCCCTGCCCTGGCATGACGCACCCCTCCTCACTTTCAGGCTCTGCCATTCCAGATCTGGCCCCCAACTCCGGCGTCTTCCTAACGTGGCTGAACTGGTAACTACAGAGCAGGCTCTATTTCCCTGTAAACACCTGAACTCTATTTGCAGAGAAGAGGCAGGGGCAGGCTGTGAACCCTGTGAAGTCAGAGGACAACTTACAGAAATCGGTTATCTCTTCCCCCTCGTAGGTCCCCTGGGAGGCTGAACTCGGCTCAGCTGGCCGGTTATAGGCTTTTGTGAACTTCTTGATAATTTGGAAGTGAACGGGCCCCGGCAACATAGGCCCGTGAAGAGGGCATGGCAGTCCCCCAAAACTGCGAGGCCTTAGCAATATGATTGCCTCACTGTGGCCCTTAGTTTCCTTCCCCTCCTCCCCCAATGGAGGGGACACAAGGGGCCTCTAGAGTCCTCTAACACTTAAGATGCTGCTAGTGGTGGACCAGAAGGAGCCACGAGGCAGGCAAGAGAGGCAAGGGACAGCTCTGACTGACAGCGGGATCCGAGCTCTGGAGAGGGGTCCCTGTCAGGGGCTGAAGCCTGGCTGCAGAGGCAGGATGGTGTGGGTAGGTGTTTCAGCTAGCTGGAGGCCAAGAGAGCAGGCTGCATCCCTGCCCAGACACCCCAGGATGCTCCCCTGCTCCCCGGCGGTTAAAGGGAGCAGGACTGCTGTGAACACTAGACAGGAAAAACGTCCCCAGCAGGTCCTACCAGCACGGAGGCCGTTCAGGGAAGAAGGCCCAGGGACCGTGGCTAGCACCTCACAGCTTCCCTGTTCAGTGTCGTGGAGTGAGGGGCTGGCTCAGGGTGCACTGCCTGGTGGGTCTCCCTGTGTGGCAGAGGAGCCTGGTTCAGAGGGGTGGAAGGCTTGGTTTGGGCTTGAGGGCCGCAGGAGTAAATGAGGGGTCAGTGTCCTTCCACAGGTCAGGTGTGCTCAGGGTGGCTTTCTAACCCTTTAAAACATGGTCTCTTAGGGCTGACAGCCACCAAAGCTTGTCGTGTGAGCACAGGGCCTGAGTTTGATCTCCAGAACCACCACCACCACCACCATCATCATCATCATCATCATCATCATCATCATCATCATCATCATCATCTTACGTGCATAGGTGTTTTGCCTAGTTCTATGTCTGTCAACCATGTGCATACGTGTGCCCACAGAAGCCAGAAGAGGGTATTGGATCCCCTGGAGCTGGAGCTACAGATGATTGTGAGCTGCCACGTGGGTGCTGGGTCCTCTGGTCCTCTGGAGGAGCAGCCAGTGCTCATAACAGCTAAGCTACCTCCCTAAATCCCCAGAACACACTTAAAGATAAAAGCTACCAAACCAACCTGTGTTCAGTTGACCACTCT